GCAAGTGTATTGAGGCTTGTGGGACTCCACTTCTCAGGTTGTAAAGGTTTGTTAAGCACCCGTAAGCTTAACGGAAGTAGTGTAGCACGAGAGAGTCTCTCAAGAGGCTGGACTAGCCACACGTTGTGGTGAACTAGGGTATAATCGATGTGTTCTCTCCTTACGCTTTTTTATTCCGCTCTTTACTTTATCTCTGCGATTTTTATTCCTCAAAAATTTATAAACATTCTCGTTCCTCACTATTCACCCCCCCATCTAGTGAAGGGCACTTATCCTAACACTGTGATGTTTTCCAAAACTTGATTTTTGTGTTCTGTTTTCAAAATAACCCCAACTAAGAATATATTTAACATTTTTTAGAAATAATATTTTGAGTGAAAGGGCATAACTAAATCATTAAATATATCATTACCTTTACACAATTATTTCTAAACTCGTAGGAGGACATCTGGGTGATGCTAATCAAGCTAATAGAGGTTTGGCATTTGGTTTCTACCTGCAAATGTTGTTAGTAGCATTGGAAGGCTTATTTGGAACATCAAAACGGTTACGGGATACAGCATTCAAGGCCAACACTTGTTTTCCCCCTTCGTCAAGGTTTCATTTTATAGAAGCACATTTAGAGGAACAACATCGTAGTTATTTGATTCTTCATGCTTGACATCATTAGTAGCGTGCTTTATGTTCGAGGCTTTTGTGGATCACTGAAAGTTTCCTTTTTCACGAGTCGTAGACAATCATGTCATATGATCCACATGAAATATGATAATAGTCGACATGAACGATTAACACGCGTTCATTATATTGTTTCACGAGTCCTGTGATGATGAATTTATCAACAGGATTTCTTCATCTTCCAGCAATATCCTGGTGGTGTCCCAGCTGCACAACTTGTTTCAATTCGTAACGTCACCACATTTAAGTCTTTATTGGGATTTTTCTCATGCCAGTTCGGTATATGCCTCGCAGGTGAGCCAAGTATCTTAACAGTTTATCTTTTTAGTATGATACATTAGTACTAAATTATCCAAATTAATTACTTCATCTGATTCATTCAATCCGACTACAGTTATCACATCATCACGATGTGTAGGTAAGCAATGTTTTCAACAATAATTAATTAAGCTAAGTCACTCTCACTAGTCTCTTCATGCCTAGCTATCAGTTCATTCAACAAAGTTGAGCTGTCTACAGCTTTTAAAAAAGTAGGTTCCATCTCTACGATGTGATTCCCTAACTTAGTTTTAATATCCAAACCGAAGGTAAATTTTAGAGGCTACAGTTGCACCTCTAAGTTTATCAAACAAGTTGTCGATGCGTGGTAAAGGATAACAATTTTTTTATCATCACTTAGTTCAGTTACCAGTAATCGTTGAAGAGTCTCATTGAGCCATCTTTCTTTCATACAAACAAGATAGATGCTCCCCAAAGGAAAACACTTAGTCGCACGAATCTTTGTCAAACAATTCTTACAGTTGGGCTTTCAATTTGTTCATCTCAGTGGGGGTCATTTGGTATGTGGTTGCGGATATTGGTCCTTTTTAGGAACAAGACTGTTAGAGAATTCCACTTCTTTGGAACATAGAATTCGAGGAAGTTCATCAAGGAATATGTCAGAGAAATTACATACGGTCGATACGTGCTTCAGTTTAGGGGTTTCATTTCGTGTATCACACGAGTAGATTTAACACTTTTTACGGATGAGACGTTTCTGTGTGAATATACGAGATGAATTCAGTCGGTTTAGGAATCAGCTTTTCTTTCACCTCTATAAGGTTACCATCATCAGTCCTTAGTTTAAGAATTCTTCGTCAATAGCATGACGTTCAGTCAGTCAATTCATACCAAGTGTAACACCCCAACCCGCAGATACCGAATTCATGGACTAGCATATCGGGTTGCTACTAAATTGATATTCAAACATAACTTATTTTCAAAACAATTCAAATAAATACTTCAAATATAATTTAACATTCATCAGAGTAATAATCAAAACATTTGCGGAAGCTTAAGTCATTATTAAAACAAAGTTTGGGAGTCCAGCCCGTAAAAGTTATTAGTCATTTAAATAATAAATAATAACTCAACATCATCAAAGACGGCCACACACATCTCCTCATCCTAATAATCGCCCTCCGTGATTGGCTATAAGTTCATCATGTTCTGATTACCTACGTGCAGCAAAAGAACAAACGCTACACGCTCAGCATTGAAGCTGAGTGAGAAATATCTAACATACAGTCATACACATAGATGACCTCACCAGCTCATATCATCATACGATATCATGCATAGAAAACATTTATAATAATATCACAACAGCTCACAAGAAAAAAACCACACAGTAATATGAATGTTAAGTACGTTTTACTGATTCAATTTACTTCCTCTCTTATCCTTTGGTCTTAACCTATTCTAGGTTAAAGCTTAACCGATCTCAACTTTCCTATGGGAGTCATGACTTTCCCCTTCAGAACGAAGATCAAGCTCAAACCAATTTGGGAGTTTCTTGTTGGGTGGGTTAGATCCTTTTCCCCTTCGGAATGATAGTTCATGGATCCCCATGCGCACATTTTTACCCGGATAGCCATTGGACCTAGCAGGTACCACATGGCTCTAATATACTACTACTTATGGCATACCTTGCAACTAATCCAATCAGCACATTCCCTAGAGTTCCTCTAGGTTATATTTTCAACATCCATTAACAGTTTCATAGTACAATATTTGTAAATCAAAAATGCGTTATCAAAATATCCAACATGATCAAATAGTGGCCTAACATTGGGGGTAAATACCAAAGTTTACCATCATACAACACACAAAGTCTCGGAATCAATCCTTGACAGAAATACAAACTAAAAGACTCGACATCAGGTACGAGACAGTACCTATCATAGTACTGGGTACCTTCGCCACGGTACCCTGGTACTAACCACAACGGTACATGTGTACCAACCGAAGCAACTGACCATTCCGGTAGGCCTGTCATGGTAGCCAACTACCCAACCAGCGGTAGGGCCTACCGCCCGTTTGGTACATAGGTACCGAACGTTCACAGGTACCGGCAGAGCTGAATGAGAATGCAGGTTTGTGGCGGTAGCACGATACCATTTTGGCGCTACCGCCTACGGCTTCTGCATGGTACCGTTTTTGTGGTACGAGACAAATTTACTACTTTTGCACCAGTTTCACTTTCTAGCATCAAACCAACACTGATACCATACTAATAGACATCAATAAGTTCACATTAAGATTCCGAAGATTACCAAACATCATTACAGTCCTACCCATACCGATTATTGTCTTCGAATCACAAAACGACAAAAACAACGCATAACTCACGTAGGGTTTCATATAGCTCAACCGTAATAATTCTAAAAACATAAGATTCAAATCTACAGGTATAACTATATGTTAGATGTCCATGTACTCACCTTGATTACGACGAATAGAGACTATGGAGATAATACCAGCGAAAGAGGAATCGGACGACGCGGCTTCCTTCTTCTTCCTTCTTCTTCTTCTTCTTCTTCTTTAGTCTTCTTCCTCCTCGCTGCTTTTCCGTTCTTTCGGTTATGTTCTTCGATCGGCAAAGAGAATTAGAGGGAGAGTCGAGAGATTATATATTTATATATATATATATATATATATGTATGTATGTATGTATCTATATATATATATATATGTATATATGTATATATGTATATATGTATCTATATATACATATATATATATATATATATATATATATATATATATATATATATATATAATTTGAGACTAAAGGCCTCCTCCAAGGATTGGAAGTCTCTAGTGCCAATACCACCTTCCTCTTTTGGTAAAGAAAGAGATTCCCACTTCAGCCAATGATGCTTCTTCTGGCCACAACCCCTACGGGTAGGCTTAAACTCAATGTTGATGCCTCCTATACCACAACACATCAAAGAGGTGCAGCTATTTTAAGAGATGCAGAAGGAAGACTGGTCCGTGGGGCTTCCTTCAAACTACACTCTAGGAGTGCCTACCAAGCTGAAGTGGATGCCGCTATTAAAGCAATCAGATGGGCCCTTTTAATTTCCAATTCTCTGAT